TTACCTACTAAAAATTTTTAAATACCTTAAAATGTGAAAAATAAGTTTCTGAATTTTCCAATTTTTCTATAATGAATGGGCATCATTTTTGTAATTAGAAAAAGAAATTTAATGTTAAAAATATATTGTGTCTGCAAGTAAAGCCCGGCTGAAACACTCCATCATTTTCTGGGCTTCTCTGTTTTCCCAGGAATTACTTACTTTTCTCTGTTGAAAATTATGAACTCTTTCTGGACAGATTCAAGGTGCTCCTGAAGAAGACATGCCTTCCAGGTGAACAATGAAAACAAATCAGAGATATAGTTAGATGAATGAGGGTTATCAAACAGCCAATGACCTATCAAGTGTCTATTCAGTGAATAGCCCAAATCTAAGAAATACCAAATTATCTTCAAAATAGATGCCATATGAAGAAAATTCGGGGAAGATGGCAGAGGAGACCAGGAATCTGTTTCCCCACCTAGACAACAATTGCACTGGCAGCATTTGTCTGATGTAACTATTTTGGAACTCTGGAGTCTGCCAAAGGCTTGCAACTTTCAGGGGAAACCTTGCGTGGTAAAGTGCAGCTAATTATGATCAATTTGAGCTCTTAGCACAGTAGCAGCTACACAACCCCCATCCTCCAGCCTCGGAGGGAGCTATGCACACGTGTTCCCAGAGCAGCTTGTGCACATGGGAAATAAGAACCATGTTCTCCAAATACTGGCAATCTGCGCTCTGATCTCTGATTGCTGCTTCTGATCACAGAGCTAAAGACAAAGACGCTGGTGGCCACTGTTGTTGCAACACCCCCATTGTTGCAAGCCACTCTCCCTCAAGCTGAAGTGCCTTCCGGGAGATTTAAAGGGCCTGCACCCTTTCCCCCTTTCATTTGTCTCTTTTTCCCCTTTTGAGAGTAAGACATTAAAGACTAGGACATTCAAAAACAACCGTATATATGGGGAAAATTAGAAAGTGACCACACACGCCCAGGGAAAGGCATGGGCTCAGAAAAGACCTAAGACCGTAAGTTTACACCTCAGACTGGTGCATGGCATCAAGACAGCCTACAACAATCAAAACAAAACAAAACAATAGCCAGGTGCTACAGCTCATGCTTGTAATCCCAGAGACTTGGGAGGCTGAAGCAGGAGGATCACTGGAGCCCAGGAGTTTGAGGTTATAGTGAGCTCTGATGACATCACTGCACTGTAGCTGGGGTGACAAAAAAAAAAAAAATCACCTGGTAAAAGAATATTTAATGGTTCAGATGTTAAAAGAAATCTCAGTCAAAACATTAGCTGAACACAAGCTAAAGAAACAAACTTCAGTGATGACATATGACAAAGAATACAATCTTTGGAAAAAATTGTTTGGAAAAGTCACTAAAAAATGGACGACAGCTTTCAACAATCAAAAAATAGCAAACTATGGAGGAAGGAAGATTTTGATTTCCAGAGTTACCACACTGTAATATTCAAATGTCCAAGTTTTCAATATAAAAATCATAAGGCATACAAAGATGCAAAAGTAGGGCCCATTCAAAGGGTTAACATAAATTGAAAGAAATTATCCCTGAGAAAGCCTAAACATTGAGCTTAGTAGGATGAGATTTTAAAACACCTGTCTTGAATATGCTCAACAAGTTAAAGGAAACCACGGAAGGAAACCATATGTTAGGCCGCAAAACAGTTCTCGATAAATTTAAAAGGACCAAAATCAGACCAGGTATTTTCTCTGATCACAAGGAAATGAAGGTAGGAATCAATAACAGAAGGAAAACTGGGAAATTCACAAATATGTAGAAATTAAACAACATACTCTTGAAAACCAATGTGTCAAAAAAAATCACAAGGGAATTAAAAAATACTTAGAAATGAATTAGAACAAAACACGACGTCCCAAAACTTATGGAACGAGTGAAGGCTGTGCTCAGAGAAAACTTTATAGTCCATGAACACCTACATTAAAAAAGAATAAATATCTCAAGTCAACCTAACAATCTCCACCTAACTTTATACCTTGCTAGTATGTTGTTGAAGACTTTTGCTTCTATATTCATTAAGGGTATCTGTCTGGAATTACCATGTTTTGGCGACATCTTTATCTAGCTTGGTATTAGGGTAATGCTGACTTCATAGAATGAGTAAGGGAGAAAATAGCTGCAATTCATGTATCTAATAGGGGTTTAATATCCAGAATATGTTTTAAAAAATCCTATAATTCAACAATAGAATTGACGAGGTGACATTTAAGATCTGAAGGATGCGAGGAAACCCCCTATGTGAAGATCCAGGGGAAGAACATTCCAGAACAAGGGAGGAGCAAAGGCAAAAGACCTGGAGAAGAACGAAACACACGGTGTTTGAGAGTCAGACACTCGCAGGGCCCGTGTGGGTGGAGGGTTCTGACTGAGGGCGAGTGTGGGAGAGTAGGGTAGGAAAGGCGGACAAGAACACGTGCAGCACGCTAGGCATGGTCAAAAGTTACTCACAAATTGTTCAGTTATTTCTAAAGGGTTAGAAAACTTTTAATGAAGATGCTATCTTAGGTCTTTATCTGGGGGCCTGTTAACACAGGGGACTGCATCCAGCTTGAGCCCAGTCCTGTAGGGTCACAGGAAGGAGCACATCTGAAGACGCACCTGATTATGAGACGAACAAGAATAAGTCATTGGACAAAGATGCTTGAAGTGACAACTATAAGCAAGTTGGGTTTGCAGCACAGCTAAGCACTCCTCGGAGGGCCCTAGCAAGCACTTTCTGGTGAGAACCTGGCAAGAGACTAGTTGTGTGATCAAACAGGATGGGGATGTGGGCTTTTGTTAATTGGCCATTAAAGGGTACAGTGGCCCCTGAGGACTAGAGAAATTAAGAACATGGAGCATACTTATTTGTTTGCAGCACTCCCTTCATCACAGACTATGAAATCTTTGAGAACAGGGATGACACTGAGTGTAGAGACTGTATCTCATTCCTAACTCCAGTGTTTAGCATGGGACCTGGCAGATAATAGGTACCACATAAAAGCAGCCTAAATGAATGGATGCAGGGCAGGAGGGATAGGTGGGTGATGAGTGGATGGATGCACGGTCGGGTGGGTAGGCAAATGTGTACATGAGTGGATGGGTGAACGCATGGTTGTGTGGACAGATGGATGACCATTAGAGGCAAAGTAAATGTTTATTACTTAACCATCATTATAATGCATAGAACCTCATGTGAGTATAAAATCCTACTGAATCTATAAAAATTTCTATACTGAAATCTGAACTCTGACGCTGATAAAGAATCATATACTTAGTTATAAAAATTAATTTGATTCAGCCTGAAATCCAGCAATAGTGTTTGGCCTGTAAGAATTCTCTCGTTCCTACGAGTAGACACTTTCTGCTTCGGCGAGCCTTGATATCACAAAATTCAGCTTGTGGCAAGGAACGGACACCATCTCTGGGACTGGCTGCTCCCAGTGACTTCTCAAAGCAAGAGGGGGGCCCAAAACAGCCAGTGTGTACTTTGAAACCTGCCCCTTGACTATAATTTCATGGGTAGTCATCTGATCTAGACTTTGTCAATTACGGTCACTTTTCCAGGAAATTTGTACATTTTGAATTGAGAGCTGGGAGAGGACAATAGCTGAGTCAAGTTAATGGCAGAGCTCCAGAGAGAAAGTCTACAAGGGGAACACTGCTGCTAGGGTCCCCAGAGCCGCCCTATTCTGCCCTTTCAAAAGCCTGAGTGTTCGGCTTCTCCTTGCATCCTACAAAACAGCAGAAGCGGGGAGCTGAGACGCTCTCCCGCCAGAGGCTCTCGATGAATTGCAGCCACAATGAGGATGCCGTGACCCTGAGTCTGGTAGGGCCCTGCTCACCTGAGAGGAATCGCACTTCCTCATCTCCTTCTCCTTCTTTGCCAGACGCTTCTTTTTCTTGTGAAGAGGTTTGGACTCCAAAATCATTTCTTCAAGTTCAAAGGTGGGATCACAATTCAGCCTGCCTTTCTGTAAGGAAGATAGGTTGGTTCGGTCCTCAGATTCCCATAGCATTCTAAAAACACCCCAGAGCAATACCGAAAATAATACTTTGTCTTAACAGAGTGGTCCAAGAATAAGCGGGGATTCCCCTTCTAAGTTTTCTATCATTTACCGCCAGCATTGTTTTTCATATTCTTTAACTTTGTATTTTGTCTATTTTCCTAAACTTCCAGTTAGCCCACAGTGAGTAAGAAAGGAAACCAAATTACAATTATTTTTCTAAAGTGCAAGCTTCTGAGTTAAAGTGAATGCTAATGGTCATGTAGATCAGAATCACCTGAGTTGCTTGTTCAGCCTCCCAGTTCTCCGAAGGAAGTTCCCAAATCAGGGTTTCTTAATGCAAGGCCCAAGAACCTGTCCTTTAATAAGCTCCCCAGATGATTCAGATTCACACTAATGTCAGAGAAGCATGACGTAGACCTTCTCTTAAGCCAACATGGATGGCTAAGTGCAGGAATGCAGCACACAGGAGGAGGAAAGGAAGCAAGAGAGGGCAGTGCCTAGACCTCCACTGTGTCACACATCAGCCATGATACAAGCTGCCCCTACCAGACCCTGCAAAACAGACAGGTCAGGACTTGGCCCCGCCTCGTGTTGCCCTATCAGGTGGAGATCTGCACCCCCAGAATTTCATCACATTGCTTTCTTCTCTCTCTCTCTTTCCACTTTCGCCCAACCCTCTCATTGGAGCATGCCCCACTCCCTGCTGTCTTCACAGGAAGGATCACACCCCCACATGCCTACAGCAAGCATCTCGCTTGGGCTTGAGAACAGAAAACTCTGCATTGGCTCTACAGGCCCCTTTAGAAGCCCATTATTCTGCCCAATATACCTACAACTGAACGTATAGTTCAGGTCCTGGGCAGAGAGAAGCTAGAGGCCTGCCTTGGGCCCCTTGGTCTAAGCTTCTGGACTATGGCTTTTACCAGTGGTGTGCAGCAGGCCACAGATGCCCTGTGGTTGGGTACCCATCCAGTGGGAACTATTTATCTTTAACTACGGATCCTTACAAATATAGATCCCTGAGATAGAACCCACAAGGGAAGAGGGGTGAATGGTAAAAATAACTTCCTCACTCAACCCCAACAGTTTTCAATCCTTTGACTCACAGGCCTCCATGGACACAAATCTGTACATCTTTGGAATCAGAGAAAACATTATTTTAATCCATAGCTTCATGGAAATGACTATTTGGGGGACTAGGACTTCTTTCCAATAAAATCATATCACAAGAAATGGTTAGGAGCTAGAATTCCAGACGCACATACACCTATATTAGAATCCCAGCTTGACTGCTTACTAGCTTTGTGGCCTTTGGTGACCAACTTACCCTGGGTGAGCCTCAATTCCCTCATCTGTAAAATAGGAATTTGGGCTCTCTCACAACACTGGTGCGATTATCCAATGAGACAACGTGTGGATGTGGCACACGGGGTACTGTGCTCTGATGAGAGTTATGACGGTTTGTTAGGATTGACTCACATTAGGAACAAAACCCGGAATGAGCCTCTTCTGCAAAACCGCATCCCAGTTTATATCACTCATATACGGGAAGTTCTGAACGTCAGTCAACTGAGCAAATCGTTGGTCTGGATTAGGTTCAAGTAGCTGCCAATGGAATACAAACACCAAGATCATGAGAAAGGTCAAAACTCAGGATGACAAAAAAATCATAAAAATTCTCTCTAAATGCTTTCAAGTATAGGATTGAAGGAAACAAGGCAGTGCCCCCTTCTTTAACCCCATTAACAAATAACATAAACAACGCATGATTAGACTAAACAGTGAGTAGAGTTTTGCAATGTGGTGAGTAAAAATAGCTCATCCTACTGAGTCAAATATATCTTTGATTCTTGACTCCCCTACTTACAAACTATGGGTAAGTTTGTTCTCTAAACCTCAGTTTACCCATTTGTAAAAAAAAAAAAGATAATAACCTTATTACATAAGGTTGCAACCAGGATTAAATTAGCCATTTCTTTAAAGTGCTTAATGAAAAGCCTGCTCCTATTAGGTGACAAATATTAATACATTTTCACAACTGAGACTCATTTCCCACTAAAAATTTTAGCTGTTTTTACAACTAACTGAAATACATTGGGGGTGGCACAGTCATACCTTAGTTAAAGTATAACTAAGGTTATTGTTACAGCTCTGGGTTTTACTAACTGGGATAAAAGATTTTTTCCCCTCTTAACCATTCCAGGGCCAACATCACATCCGTCGTGTGGATCAAATGGGAAATGTCAGTCCCACCGGAGCATGCTCCTGGAGGTGACAACCATGGGACATCGGGGTGTAGTTTTGAAGGGAAGCGGGCTGTCTTGGAATTAAGCAAAATTCACTTATGGAAAATGACCTCCCTATTCTACATCTTTGACATTACTGATAACGATGTCCCTATTCCAAAACAGGGAACTTGACCCCAAAGACAAAAGACACAAATTTTAAATCCTTAGCCGCTAAAGTTCTTTTTCCTTATCGACCACAACTTGTGCAATTTTCTCTCCCCCCACTACCCCAAAAAAGCCAAGCCTATCCTTTTGGGGCTCCTCATTCTTTTTTTGCATAATCATTCAACATACACTGTGGAGATTCTCCTATAATTGTTTTTTATCTTTTTGGTGAACATAGGCACCTTGAAAATCTAATGAAAGCTATGGACCTCATTTCTTCAATTGCTTACCAAATTGTACCACCTGTCAGGCTCTGTGTTACATGCTGGCAATATCATCGTGCACAAGTCAGACATGGCCGCTACTTTCATGCAGCTTAGACGAGAATAATCAGTAACCCAAGTATCATACAAATGCTGTGTATAATTTTAAACTGCTATGAAGGAAAGAGGGTGTTATGTGAGCTAACAACAAGGCAAGGCTTCCCAAGGAGGTGATATCTGAGCTAAAATCTGTGCTTCTCAAGCTATGTAGAAGGGGCAGTTACTTTAGTTTGGTTTTGTTTATTTGTTTTAACTTCCAATCCACTGAAACCAATATGCGGTTTTATTGTGCATGGCCAGCATGTAGCTCCTCACCATGTACAACTTGTGACTTGAGTTCAACATCACCCAAACAAGCTCATACCCTATTCAATGAGACCAGTCTGTTGACCATGTGCTTAGATGCTACAGCAGTGTCAAATTGCAATAAATGTTTCTAAACGCTTTTCTCAATTTCTGTACTTACAATGGATCTGTAGGAAACAATTCACAGACTAGAACCAGTCAGTGAATCGTGCTGAGTAGTACTGATCTCAGGGAGGAAGCTGGAGGAGCTAGGGTTGGAGGCAATGTTCCAGGAAGAGGGACTGGCATGTACAAAGGCCCTGTGGTGAGAGGGAGACTGGTGTGTGTAGGAAAAGAAGGGGAAAAGAAGGAGAAAAAGAAAAAGGCCAAACAGGTTTACGTGTAGTCAAAAGGGAGACAAAAGTCCAAAATAAGGCTTGAGAGGTAGTTAGAACCTTTGTACCATACAAATTATTTTAATCTTTATTCTAAGGACAATTGGAAGGCACTCAACTGCCCTTTGAACAGATCACTGTGGGGCAGAGTGGGGGACAGAACTGAGTGGTAAAAGTGTATGGGCTAAACCAGTTATAAGGCCAAACTGAGGGCAGTTGAGTTGGGGAGATAATAGGGAAGATGGAGAGAAGTGAAAGATTTAAAAGATATTTAAAATGTAAAATTCCAGAACTTGGTGATGGATTGGATATGGAGATGATAAATGAGTCCTGATTTCTGGCTTGCAGAAATGGATGGATGGTCCTCCTCCAGTCACTTGAAGAGGGAATGTCAGAACAAATTCAGGAAATACAGAAAGATTAAGAATTCCATTTTGGACGCATTGAGTTTTTTAGGATATCTAAGGGGACTTGTGAGTTGATTTAATGAAGTCATGTATTTGAAAGTGATTAGCTGCAAAAACCACTGCAGCGATGTGTATTAGCGTGACTGCCCCCAATACTGTATACTAACTTCTAACCTTAAACCAGACAGCATGCTTCCTCTTATCACTTCCTTTTGACATGCAGTCTTCCTTCTTACCTTTTTAAGAAATGACACCATTTCCTGTGACCAGGCGGAAGGGTAAGTCACAACAGCCGTCTCAAACATGTGTGCAATTTCCTTGCTGGAAGTACTGGAGCGAATATGATATGGTCTCTTAAGGGAGAGAAGAAGAAGTAAGGGTCTTCATTTTTACGGGGCAAAAGAAAAAAAATTTGTTTTGCAAATGATTCTAAGCAAAACTTTTAACCAATAACATACCAATATCAATTTCTAACCCCATCCAGCTGATTGATGTGTTGCCATATGTGGGTGGTCCTGTGTTGCCAGACCTCCTACTTTTTAAAAGGAGATGCCAGAAACCTATCGTTTCTTGTAACAGATCATAATTTTCAAAAGTTGGTGATTCCACTGAGCCAAACAAATCATTTCAGTGGGCTGAATCAGCCTCTGAGATGCTGATTTGAAGCTATTTTATAATGTAACTTGCAATAAGTATTTACATAAATTACTGGACAAGGGTTAATAAATGGAAGTTTACAAATTATTATGTAAGGGTTCATTATAAAGAAATCAAAGGTTTTACCATACCCTCTTTTTTACTAGTTTGCAACATAATGAGCAAGTTCAAGACAGAAAGCTGCTCAGAAAATATCCCCCTGGGCCTCAAATGCGATGAGTCCCTGTTTCCATGGAGTGTGGAGTGGAGAATTTTATGATGAAGCAAAACATTCTTTTCAAAAACAAAATTTCTGGAAGAACCAGATTCTCCTATAGTTTTAACTAGGGGTTGGTGGGGGTTGGTGGGGAGGAAGAGGAGGGAACAAAATTAAACAAAAGAAAACTGTGGATTTGTTATAGTTTTCACAGTTTTCCACTAGAGGGAAGCCTTCATTGATCTTAATTTATTTTGTAGGGGACTTAGCAACACTGGGATTTCATGTCTTCTATGTGAACTATCCTTCAAAGTGATGGTATTTGGAGATGAAGTCTTTGGGAGGTAATTTGGGTTAGATCAGATCATGAGGGTGGGGCTCTCATGATGGAATTAGTGACCTTACAAGAGGAAGAGAGAGAAAGAAGTCTCTCTCTCCATCACATGAGGACACAGTGAGAAGGAAGCCTCTTGCAAGCCAGGAAGACCATCGTCATGGTTGGAAGAGAATCCAACCATGAGTCTGCAGTTTAAGTAACCTATGCATGGTATTTAGTTGAGGCAGCTCTAGATGATTAAGATTTTGGTTCTGAGAAGTAGGATCCTGCTGTAACAAATACCTAAAAATGTGGAGGCAACTTTGGAACCAGTTATTTGGTGGAGGCTGGAAGAGTTTTGAGGTACATTCTAGAAATATGGATATTCAGGGTGATTCTGGTGAAGTTTTAGACAGAAATGAGGCACATGTTATTGAAAACCAGAGGAGAGGCAATACTTGTTACAAAGTGGCAAAGAACTTGTTTGAACTGTGTTCTAGTGTTTTGTGGAAGGTAGAACTTGTGGGTGATGAAAATAGACATTTAGCTGAGGAGATTTCTAAGCAAAACATCGAAGGAGTGGCTTGGTTCCTCCTGCCTGCTTATAGTAAAATATGAAAGGCGAGAGATGCATTGAAGAAGAAATTGTTAAGCAAAAAGGATCCAGAAATTGAAGATTTCCATCCATATTGCAATAAGTGAGAAAGCTTGTCCTGAAGTGAACATTAGGGTGTAGTTCACCAACAACTAATTGATAAAGAGATCATGGGTGTGATTCATGAACCTCATCAGCCATCTCAACAGAAGCCAGAAATAAAGATGGGATTTCAGCAGTGGAGATACTGCCAGTTTGAATTAAAGAAGACAGAGAAGGTGAGATGGAAGAAGAAAGGCTGTCAGACCTCTTGGATGTTACAGGATAGGACCGTAATGCTGCTCAGCCTTCACCAGAAGGGAAGAAGAAACCAAAAAGGAATCAAAACAACCCGGCCGCCAACCCCAACCCAAAGCCCGAGTGCACCGGCCTCGGTGGCAGGGCTGCCTCCACCTCGGTTTCAAAGGGCACGACCACCACCCAACAGAGCTGTGTGGACCTAGCCCTGGCAGAGAGCCATGCGGGCGGGGTCCCTGTGCCGCGGAGAGCCATTTAAGTGAGTCCCCTCCCCCAACCCCAGCCATGGGAGTGATGTTGCCTCACCCATGTAGACCTGGCAGGCAGACCATTGAACCAAAGAGGATTTCTGTTTTGGACTTATTTGGGACCTGATACCTGTTCTCTCTTTCAGAATGGGACTGCCTATCCCATGCCTATGCCACCATTGTATTTTGGAAGTTTGCTGGTTTTACAGGTTCACAGCTGGAGAGAAATTTTGCCTCAGGATGAATCATACCTCACATCTCACGCGTACCCAATGCAGATGATGCTTAGATGAGACTGTGGACCTTAGACTCTAGAGTTGATGCTAGAATAAGTTAAGACTTTTGGGGCTGCTGGAATAAAATGAATGTTGCATCTGAGAAGGACATAAATTTGAAGTGGGGGGAAAAAGTGGAATGTGTCTCATCCAAAATTCATATGTTGTAGCCTTAACCTGTGACGGCATTTAGAGTTGGAACCTTCGGTAGGTAATTAGGGTAAGATGAGGTTATGGGGGTAGATTCCTCATGATGGGATTATTTCCTCTTATAAGAAGAAGAAGATATTCTCTCTCTCTCTCTTCCCCCCCCCCTCTCTTTCTTTCTCCCCCCATAAGGACACACCAAATAGGCCATCTGCAAACCAAGAAGAGAACTCTCACCAGAACCCCACCATTCTGGCACCCTGATCTTGGACTTCCAGCCTCCAAAATCGTGAGAAAATAAATGTCTGCTGTTTGAGCCACCCAGCCTATAGTATTTTGTTATGGTAGACAGCGCTGACTGAGACATAACCTTATGGGCACATTTATATTATGCAACAGTTTGTAAAAAACATATAAAATATGTTTCAGCATATTTGGTTTTTTAAATCTATTTCTTCTAGAAAAGAGCTTCTTAATTTGAGAAATGTTTCTCTTAAAAGTAAGCTGCTCTAATTTGTCACTGAACCCAGAACCCAAGAGCCAAATGATCAATAGAAATCCAACAAGACCGGACATGAATTATGCTGTGTTAATAATTTACACTTTCCTTGTTGAGGTGTGCCTGAATTCGGGTACTATACTGTGACCTCAATATGACTTTCTTTAAAACAAACACATACATTTACATAAGTATTTAGTGAGGTGTATTGATTTCCCCTCCTTGGACATTTATAGTATCCATATTATTCACTTAATTTTATCTGTGTAATTTAATGTTAACTGATGTGGTTGGTCCCGTATGTAGGACAGCAAACTAATCCGTGCAGAAATCTCAAGGGGTGTTATCAGCATCACATGGCATATTTGTTTTCAGCTTTCAAATAAACTGCTTGGTTCTTAGCAAACCATACATACATTCTTTCATTCTAAAATAGAACCTGCTGGAAGAATAACCGAAGAGAAAATGCAACTCTACTGTACCCGGCCTCTCAACAGCTCATATGCTGTCACTCCCAGGGACCACCAGTCAACAGCGAAGGAATAGCCCGCTTCTTTTTTGGAGTTGAACATCTCAGGTGCTGAAAAACACAGAAAAGTGAGGCCAGTGTTATTACCTGAGACATTAACAAATTTATTTGCCCAACATGCTCCTTTAGAAAATTACGAGGATCAAGGGTATAAACACTTTCATGGATGTTTATCATCCATTACTAGATTGCTCACAGCAGGAAAAAATTTCTAATTTTCTCATCTCTCTCAGTAGCCTCATTCATCAACCCATGCACACAGGCATGCACAAGCCTTCATGGGTAAACTCTTTTCTTATTTAGGCCATGTACCTATTAAAATCAGGTCCTACCAGACCTCAAACATGCAGCTGACCCTGAAATCAAGAAGGCTGAGAAGATAGATATTCTTTGTCTTGATTTGGAAGGTTTGCACTAAAGGATCTAAATTTGGATTCCAAACAATTTGCAAATTCCAACTGCAATTTGTATTGCAAACAATGCTCAGAATTTGGTGCAACATACATTGGATTGACTTTCCATCTTGGAGTCACCTGGAGGTGGCAAGGGCAACATTGGGGGTGAGGGAGGGAGAAAAGAGGGAGTAGGGACACTGGGAAATATAAGGCTTTACAATCCTGTGGGTCATCTGTACTTTGTAACCATAGTTCTTCCAACTGATTCCAAGGGAGGGCAGAGCTACAGTCAATTTTGCCCCCAGAGATGACCCCCCAGTTATGCACTGACACACCATGAACCTTTCTCATACCCTTCCAAGACTCTATCTAACTCCTGAGGAGTGGAATAGGGAGAATGAAGCACAAAGCAAGGGCAGGTATCCTGTCTGCTTTCTTGCCACTACGTCCTAGTGACTAGGGCAGAGCCTGGCACTCAGAGTCACTGGACAGAAATTTGTTGAAAGAATGAACAAATAAATCAATTACTCAAGCAATAGTTGTGACCATTAGCTCTGGAGCTGTGCTGAGTTCAAATTCTGCCTTCACCACTTATGATGACCTCGAGCAAGTTAGTTGGCAGAGCCTGAGAATCAGGGCAAAAGCAGAATAAGAAGAAGGAGATCTCTATAGGGTTCAAAATTAAATGAGATAACCCTGTCAAAATGTCAGCACAGTGCCTGGCACTTAGAAAGTGTTCAAAAACGTCAGGTCCTCCTCCCGAGAGGCAAACATTCATAATAACGGGGGGAATTGACTCTAGTCAAAAGGTGCACAGGGTTGATTCCAAGTCTCCTGTAGTAAGGTGCTGGCCCTGGACAAAGAAACGGGTGTGACATGGGACCTGCACACGCAGGCTGGCCCTGCCCAGTGCGCTCCAGTTCTTTCTAAGTAACATCCTGTGCGCAACACCCCATTAGTGAGGCAGAGCACTGACATCCTAACGCCAGGACTGACCCAGCCTCTCAGAGAGTGAGGTAGCAGGACTAAGTGAGCCCCATTCCCTAGCGCATTCTCCTTTCATGCCTCACTGCGTCCCTTCTGCAATCACAGCTCCCACCGCAATCCGAGAAATAATGGCCCTGACCCCACACTACTCCAACAAATGGGATGGAATGGACTAGATTTCTGCCTCCCCTTCTCAGTATCTCACAGCAAGTAATCTCAGAGAGTCCCCCAGGTGGCAGGTGACACACATCTCACTTAGAGAAGCTGCAGAGAACTTTGAGGGATAATCGGACCCATTGTGCCAAGAAAATGCCTGACAGAATAAACATTACTCTATAAAAGTTGTGTATTCTGTCATATTGGATTATCCTTGGAGTTTATGTAAGCGTTCTTTTTACTTTCTTTCTTTCTTCCACCTTTATTGAGTGAGTATCCTTTTCCCCCTCTTCTACTTGTTCTGTTTTCAGGCACGAAGACATTTAGATATGCATCCGTTCATTCAACAAATATTCACGGTGTGCTGGGCACTGAGGAATTTTGGTAGAACATTCAGAAAAAAATCATGACAGCACACGAAAACATAACAGATGGGTGGTTCTTTGAGCCTTCAAACAGCTGAAAAGCCAAAGCAGGAAGATACCAAGGGGCTCTCACAAACCCTGCAAGAAGATCCCTGGCTCCTGGGAAGGCAGTAATGGAGTTGGAGAGGGACTAAGTGTCCTTCAGACAAGCACTGAGTAGTATTTTGTTTGGTATTGTTTTTTTAAAGTATTTCTATACATATATTCAGAAAAGTAAATAAAATAGAAGAATTTAACAGTAGACATGCCTCTGCTAAAGTCGAAACCCACTTCTCCCGGGTCTTAACATCTGACACTCTGCTTATTTTGCCATGCCACTAAACATAACCATCATTTTTAACAGTCATATGCTACAGAATTAGAGGGCAGCACTAAATTTATTTGACCAATTCTCTTTAATTTTATTTGTATACAGTTATGGGGTCCAAGTCTAATTTCGTTACATGGATATATTGCATAGCGGTGAAGTCAGGCGTTTCAGTGTATCTATCACCCAGATAACATACACTCAACCCATTAATTAACTTCTCATCATCCACTGCTAGCGCAGCAGAGCAGTGTGTTCAGAGTTAGGGCTCTGGCATCAGATCCCTGGTGACTGTCCCTGGCTTCGTTCACCTTGGACAAGTTTCTTAACCTCTCAGTCTGCTCGTCTCTGAAGCAGGAGTAACGATAGCACGCGTCTCACGGAATTGTTTTTAGTTTCGATGATGTAATGCACACACTTAGAACAGTGCTTAACATGCAGCAAGAGCCCAGCAAATGCCAGCCCGTGTACCCCATCACCGCCGCATCGTCATCCGTGTTCCAAGCTCTGCACTTTCCTAGACTTTTCATTCCATGCTCTGCCAGTCACTTGCTGCGCGACTGTGATCACATCACTTTCTTTCTTTCTGGGCC